GAACTGAACAATATATCAGGGACACTCTACCGATCGGAGCAGCAAGTGGAAATGTTGTCATCACGATACCGTTTATCTAAGTGCAAACCGCCGTGATGGTTTATGCAAGCTTCGTAGAAAGACATTATTAATCCTCCAGATTGTATAAAGCCGTCGATCTGAGTCTCTTGCCTTGAAAAAAGCCGATGGGCAAAACTAACCAAAACCTTGCGCCGACGGATGTAGAGGTAGCCACCTGTTCAGTTACCAATGGGATGTTCTCCTCCGTAAGACATACATTATCAGCCGAATCTCTTGCGTTTAGAAGGAAGGAGAAAAGAAGGAAAGAAAGGAGAAAAGAAGGAAAGAAAGGAGAAAAAGAAGAAAAGAACTCTAACGGTACAGTTGCTGTCGGTGAAGGGTTAGTGAGGGAAACCATACCAAACTATTTTCTCAGGTTCTGTAGTACAAAACGAGTTATAGTGACGCTTGTGTACTCCGCGAAGAGCAGTGGCTTACGCACTACTCTCCCACTAGCAGCAGTTACGGGCGATGGTAGCTCTTCGATTTGCGGTGACGGTATATGTTCAATGGTTTATAATGAGGACTGTGGTGTTGTTGACTCTTTGTCCATGTCGGTTTAGTTTGGGTTCATACTTTCCGTCACTGCGTTAAAGAAAGCGAAATAAGCTCACTCTGTGTGATGTCCCCATTCCCTCCCTTCCATTTCTTCACATAATTTGCTGACTTCTGTAGGGCTACCTCCATCAGTAGTCAGCTAATTGAAACAACGTGGCTTTTCCATCAAGTGTAGGGCGTTCACAATACACGGTTGAACCCACTGAGTTTTCACGTATTAACTTGTGACGACCCATGGTACTTTCAGGTCTTTTTAGTCCACGATGTCCTCGCTCTCTTTCACGTGTGTCAGATCCCGTGAATATCGACAAAAGTCGCTAAGAAGTCTCTAATATCAAGGTCTCAAAAAAGCCAACGTATAACCAGCTTCACCTTGGCACAGTGTAGATGAGCTTTCATCGAGAAATCACATCAGCGCCACAAATGCTTCGGCCACTCATACACCGCTCAAATTTTGTGCAGTCCACTTTGTTTTACTAGTATTCGTCACAAAAGGACTGAAAGAGCTCTAGATGATTTGGTTCCAAGGAACGTGCTTTTTG